ATGTTTTGACCTCAAGAGGTCATCCTCAGGTGTATGAACACAGCTGTATAATTACACGCAATGACATTCGTCTTTTCACTTATTCGATCCTGTATCTTATTCAGGCTCACACTCAATAATATATCAAGCTCCTCTCACAAAACACAAGTTAAAATATTATTCTAAATGTCAAAAGTTAAAATTTTAAAATTAAAAATTTAAAATTTGTGAATCAAATTTCAATTTTATTATATTGATTGCACTTTTCAATTTTTGGAGGTCTCGCTGTTCTTCCGCATCCTCTGATGTTGCTGGATCTGTTACAGTCCATGTTGTGATGGCTACTGATCAGTAACCGTAACAGATCCAGCAACATCAGAGGACGCAGAAGAAAAGCGAGACCTCCAAAAATTGAAAAGTGCAATCAATATAATAAAATTTAACTTTAATTCATGAACTTTTAACCAATAATATTGTCATGTATTGGGTGTATAACGCGACAAATAACTTCATGCCGTATTTGATATAGCGAATTGTATATCACATTCGCACTTATAATCACCAAAATTACAGATTCACAATTACTGCTATCTGCAGTATCACAAATACTACACTCCAAATGCCAAAATACAACTGACTGGTTGCTGGCTAACTCGGAACTCTCTAGGAACTAACTCGTAGGTAGCTCGAGAACTGTTGATAACACACTCGCTCGACTACTATTTAACTCGGCGACTGCTACGTTACAACTAACTCCGCAGGCAGTGGAGCTCTCTTATATAGGGGCTGTGTGGGCCTGTTACATGCCACGTCACAGTAGGAAGCAGTGCCGCGTCACCGTGTTGCACATTACATCACCGTGGGGAGAGTGGCGGGGCGGGGACTCGCCTATTACCATAGTAACGCGAGCGCTACGTTACCGCCACATACCACTGGGGAGGTGGGTGTCCTCCGTTTTGCAACATGTCACAATATAATTAAAACTAGTTAAAGTGACCTTGATGCAGTGATGAGCGTAAGTAGGAAGTGACTGAATAACAAGTGAAAGTGAAAGCTTAACTAGTGACCTGAATCGAAATTTGATTTGCAAATTTTAAATTTTAACTTTTGACATTTAGAATAATATTTTAACTTGTGTTTTGTGAGAGGAGCTTGATATATTATTGAGCGTGAGCCTGAATAAGATACAGGATCGAATAAGTGAAAAGACGAATGTAATTGCATGTAATTATACAGCTGTGTTCGTACACCTGAGGATGACCTCTTGAGGTCGAAACATGTAGTGTAATAATAATAAAAATATCTTGTGTGGTCGGTAAAATTGACTCTAATATTAATTAAATACACAACAGGATGCAAGAAACAATTAAAATTTTATGTGACTTTGACATGTGATGTATTCGCTATTATTTCTTGACATGTCCAATTGTATTCACTACAGTTATGGACGAAAATAAAGTTGAATGTTTAAAGTTTTATGAGGCACATTACAATACGAATAAACTAATTTCCCACGTCAAAAAACGTTGCATATCATACCTCTTTCTTAATATTAAATTTTATTTTTGTACAAATATATTTATTCCTAGATTCTTTTATGATATTCTTAAGTAATTTAGCTTCTTACAGGGAGCTTGGAGCTACATTTCATATTAATTTAATTCTGATATATGCATATTTAAAAATCGCTTATTTGAATGCAGTTTATGAATTTCTAGTACCTATGATGATTCTCTGGTAAATTCTACATGATACTGTACATATAATAAAGTTGTCTGTATGCTTAGTTAAGAGCCCCACAGTAAGGATGTCTGGGAGAGAGACAGGAGATGTAGCTCCATGTATTCTTAACTTCAGCACTGGTTGTAGGTGAGCAGTCAATTTCATACTGTGGCAGCTTTATGCCTTGTACCCACTGGATGGGAAGCAGAGTGGGTCCCAGAATTGGTTTGCGTGTGGCAACAAGAAAAATTCATGACCCTGCTGAGAACAGAATCTCAGCCATTCAGCCTGTAGCCTAGTCACCATACTGACTGAGTTATCCTGGTATCCTAAATTAAAAAAAAAATCAATTATAAAATATTAAACATTACAGCCCTTTACATAATCAAGTCACAACGATGCATGACAATCAGAATTAAAACATTTGAACAACTGATGTTAAGGAATATATCTTCAATATTATGTAACCATTCTGTGTTAAATACTTTAACCTGTCATTTTATGCATAAATAATATTTTAATATGCATAACACACCAACGAGAATAAGAAATACCATGAAATAAATTATCTTGATGAAATGTGTTGCAAAATTCTTTCTTAATGTTAAGCACACTTTGCAAGGTTTACCAAAAAGAATGCCGAACACCTAGAACTCAGGAACAAAAACAGGTATGCTGATCTAATACTTGCAGTTTAATCTTGAAATCAAAACAGTTTCTTTGCCATAAGTTGCACTCATATCCTAACTGTAGTTAACAAACAGCAGCTTTGATTACTTGTTCTGTGTAATCAGTACAATGTCTACCATACAGCAGAAACCACAGACCATGTGGTAAAATCCCAGCATTCTTTATGGTAGACCCTGTATTATATAAACATGTTGCATTAACATATTAAATTAAAAACAATAAAATAGGTAGGCAGCTACACTTGTACTCACAGGCGATGCACTATAAGCAACATGCTCAGCACAACAGAAAGTCCAAACACTCAGCAGTAATTCGTTGTGTACTGTTGTCATGTATGACCAAGGGTTAGAGAGATGAATAAACTAACATGAAATTTGTTACAGAAATGTGGTTAATAACACAAAATTTTCTTTTACATGATGTACTGTACATGTGGACATAGTCAAATCCTGTTTAAGTGCAACACCTAAATTCTTTGCACACTTTTCAATAAACTTCCCACATTTTATATTCATATTCCTTATATCTTTCTCTGTTTATATTTTAACACTTTGTGGACCAGCAATTTAAATATTTAAATCACCCTGGGGACCGGCATTTTTATACCTACTACCCTAACATGCGCACTGTTCACTTTCAAAATTAATATAAAATCTCCTAATTAATTTTATGAACTAAAATTTTTGGAGAACCCTTACCAATGCTCATAGAAGTGCTTGAGAGTGTGATATTTCTGGAAACATTCCCCTTTGTGAAGTGGCATTACACACTTGCAAATGTAGACAGCCATAGTCCTTTTTTTGTGAACTGCGCAAACACGGCATTGCCTAGAAGGATGCTTCCCCTTGGAATGTTCACTCTTCACAATTTTCACGAGGGTATGTTTCCACATATCACCCGAGAGTCACCCAGGGGTGTCCACATGAGGCCTGTGTGGAGTGGGAGTTGATGGGCTAGGTCGCACTAAGTCTGTCTGACTCTGGTTCTGCCACCACCATCTGGTCTGTAGCCCAAGCCTTTGCCACATTCATCAGAAATGCTTTGTATTTCAATTTTGAATCAGGGTTTAGATTTTTGTAAACCAAAAATGAATTGAAAAGGGAACAATTTATAAGCCACAAGGCAACTTTCACTTTATTATCTGTGGCCACAATTCTTTGTTGACCCCTGTCACTTCCACTCTGTGAATCACTCCTCCACAAGGCAGGTCAGATAGCTCATCGGAAAATAAGTCAGAGAGATCGCTTTGCCTTCAACCACTTTTGTCCTTGAAACATATTCCCCTCTACTAACTTCCTGCCTGGTACAAAAACAGCTGGAAGGAGCAAAGTGTATTCTCTTTTGGAGTAGGGACCCTAGCCAGCCAGGTCAAGTTACTGAATACCTAGCATACATTCCGAAGATTTATTACGCAGTATTCATTGCAGTTGCATGGCGCCAGAGCAAGGTATAGTGTGTTACAACCTAATGTGTCCTAAAAGCCTGATATCATGCGATCGGTCCGCCACGTTTAAAAGTGAAAAGCCTGATATCATGCGTCCAGTCCACAAAGTGTTAAGAAAGAAAAGACATGTATTTTCACACTTGTTTTGATCAAATTATACATATTGTTATGCATCTTCTTAGTCATAGTGTTATTCACCTATGAATTACACTGATATTTAAATACATGGAATAATTATCACTTACAATGATTTCTGAGAGTTCTCAGAAACTGATAGTCGTTAGCACTGATAGGCTCAATTAAATCAGCTATAGAGAAACACTATCAATCATTCACACACAGTAGATAATCAAAATAAAACTGTGTGGCAAATTATCCACTTTTCTTGCTGAAAATTTTCAATTTCATCTGACTGCTCTGAATTAATACTCTCTGATTGTTTAATTCTTAGGCTGTACTGGAACGAATATGTGAATATTAAAAATTATCACAATTTCCTACATGTGTTACTCAGTACTGAAACAAGCCTGAGCTTATTTCAATGCAGAAATATTTTAACATTATAATGAAATTAATATACATATATTGTAATTTTACTAAAAATAATAGGTATAAAAGGTAGCAAAATTCTGTTAAACTACATTACACAAAATGGCACCATCACATTTCAAGGCACTTGGATAATTGGGTGTATACAGCACTGAAGAGCATACAAACAATTCATTTGATGGGTCCAGGTACATAGAATTAACTCTGGGGAAGGACAAATGTGTATATATCTGTGGTTTTCAGTTTATCAAAGAGAACCTAATTTTGTGGACCAAATCTGTGACAGAGTTTATTGTCTGGATTTCTATGGCAAAATTAGGGAAAGAGTTTAATATTGTACACAAAATTCAACATATGATTTTCAGTTAATTCATAAATGCCGCAAAATCATATCAGGAAATATACATTTTAAATTTGCTACTAAATACAAATAATTAAACCACCAACAGTAATATAATTTATGCCATCACTACACAATATTTATTGGTTGGTTAACACTACACTACCAACAGCAAAAAGAAAATTAGTTCCAATGTCTCATGCCAAATATAAAGAAAAAGGATTTAGAAGTAATTATGAGGGCTGATCAAATGAAAAGTGATGACACCGTACTCACGCAGGCAACACTCCCGCTGTTGTTCCACTGGAAAAGCAGTAAAAACAAACCACAAAAAAATGAAATTTTTTTATAAACCAAACGTGCATGAACACATGGGCACATTTACATAGAGACAGTCATGTTGCTCTTACAATCTACTCATTGTGTCCTATTAAACAATTTTCGATTGCATTTTTAAAGAGTTTAGGAAGTGTAAAAATCACTGTAAATGGCATCTTTTGTGGAATATGCTTTACTAAATGCAAGAACTGTTGGGCATCCATCGACATGGCACCACCCGTCCACCACACAGGTGACAGCATAGGACTACAGCAGACTACAATATAAATATAAAATGTCAATTGTCTAATGTAGCATGAGGTACAGAAAAGAGCAAAGAATCTAAATGATCATAGCAACATGAACTGGCAACAACCTAAGGACAAAATCCATTATCACACTGTAAATAAAAACCTTCAAGAGCTTCCAAACAATTTACTGGATGAAACTAAGAATGTTATGGCATATGACATCTATTTGTCTATTTGGCATCAACCAACAACTATACCCACCACTGGAACCAAGACTGAATTGGCTAAGATTTCAAGCAATCTTACACTTCCAAAGAATTCATCAGATAAGATCATTCTTATGATGTCACCAATTAATTACATTTTATAGATATATTGTAGTTGCTAACAAAATTTTTCAACTGCAGATAATCTAATGAAAATCCAACTGGAATTCAGTAAATTACACTGCAGTTTACAAAAAAAACAAAAAAAAACGCTTCTGTGTAAATAAATTTTTCCTGATATATTCATAAATTCTGAAGATGTCGTTTCGCTTGTTAGAAGTGAAGTGTAATAAATTTATATTAATTGCAGTCCAGTGTTAGAAAATTATCAGTATAAGATCTGTAATAGAGCATAGTACTTTGCAAACATAAAGACAGATATGTAGGATGAAGGAATATTCTGATAATATATTCCATGTGCATATCACTAGTAAAGGATTTAATAAGATTAAATGCACATTTTATGATACATTTGCTAAAAATAAAAAACAGTTTTTATTCAGAATAACACATAATTACACAAAATGCCTAAAAAAGGGAGAGGAGATGTAGAGAATTACATTGTTTGCATTGCATTGTTGCAGGATTTGTTCAGTGGGAGCTATTATTCATGAGATGCTCACATAACCTGTCAATTTAAAATATGTCAAATTAACTAGATTTCACATATTTTCAAAGAGATTACACTTCTTTTCATTCACATAAGAAAACCTGTAGCTGATAAAACAATATACCTACTGAAAAAATTAACTGTACAAAAAGAAAATCTGACTCTTACTTGGGTCCTATCTTTATGTACTTGCTCTTCAATATTATAGTGAGTGGAAACTGTTAGTGCAGAATGTCACAAGAGCATAAGATTGAAACTGTTGGTTGGCTTATATGAGAACATTAGGAAAATATAACATCCATATTTCTATGTTGGATGAAAGTATTGGAGCCTACACTTCATTTATCAAATGACAGTGAAAAACTGTCCTTCTCAAACAATCCTCAGATTTACTGGGTTTGTGGTCTTTCTCCGTCCCCCAGTATTCCAGAAACTAGAAACCACACCAATGTCAGAAACCTTTAGAATCTTCTTAAACCATGTTCAAGTACTGACATTTTCTGCAGGAAATGAGAGAAAGATGAGCCTGTAATTATGACACTGCACACTAGATGGAATTTAGGATAAAACACAAATAGGACCAAAGAGTATTATCTTCTGCTGTGTAGTCTGAAAGAAGTTCACTAATATTGTCTCCATTTCCGAGATCAAAAAGTATGCCATGCAAGAGACAGGCAGCTTGCCCTGCTTGCTCCTAGTTTCATGCTGGCTTCCTTCTTGGCTTACCCACTGACTATAAAGTTGGAGGCAGTACAGTCCTCCAAAACATAGGTGGACTTATACCAAATTACGCTACGATAAATCCTAGAAGATAGACTCTTTATAGTCAGCACTATGAGAACCTCAAATCCAACACAAATAGATATTCTCAAAATTGCTTATATATGCAAGCAGAAATTTACAAATGTTGAAGTGTAAATCACAGTTCACAGGGTAATACCAATTCATTTTTAGGAATTCACTAGAATAGAAGTTTGTATGAAGTAGTGCAACATCAAAGTCCAAATACCTTGCTTAAAAACAAACAGTTAATACAGATATAGTTGATCCCACGTTTATACAAACAGCATTTTGGACCATCTAAAATCTAAGTATATATTTATAATGTCTCCAGAAATGATCTGAGTTGATCTTTCTGTTTCCTAACCACTGAGGCAAGGACCTAGAATCAATTTCTGTAGAAGTATCCTCAGGTCAGACTGAAATAATGTATTGTTAGCCCCATGAAAGAGTGAACAATATTCAAAAATGGAAACACTCATAGACTTAGAAAAATGTAGTGATACTAACATAACACGGATACAGTAAGTTGGGCACAATAAAGTACTTCACTTTAGGCTAATCACTGAGCAAGTCTATTATACAATGGAATATCGAGCCTTACATACTTGTAAATTCGTAACTTTTCTCTCAGCTCCTAAAGATTTTTAGTTTGTGAGTTGTCCGTTTTTCATGATTTTGTATTGATTGCATCACTGAATGATATGAGAAAATGTTCATGGAGGATGAAATGGAGAGAAAAGAGATTGTAGTGGTCATGTCCTATTTCAAGGTACTAACCCCATCAGGAAGAACTAAGGAAAATCATAGCAAATCTCAGCCAGCACAACCAGTACAAGCCAAGAGTCACAACAGTCACCTTCAAAATACATGCTGAATATAACTGTGCTGGGCCATCCTGTTTGAGTTTCCCACCAATTCCAGATTATTTGAAGAATATGTACCTGGATAAATGAGAAATCTCTGTCAAAATTACCTACATATTCTAAAAGAGCTGTGAACATGGGAACCTCTTAACAAATCCCAAATCTAATGAACAGGAACAGGTAATATATTGTGCTGAAGGGGAAGAAATAAAGAATGAAAATATGAGGGAGTCAGTAAATAGGTCACTTTTATTTTATAAGTTGTTTACACGAGTATGAATTAAATTTCCAAAGAAAACATTAGCTGTCAATTACAGACACTTTAAATGTAACACGCTTCTTTTACTTACAATGCAAGGTTTTGATTACCTCAAAAAAGAAGTGAGCATTTTGAGCTTTAAACTGTGCAGCTATAAACATCATTCGGCTCAGCTTTACTGGTAAACTTCTTTCCTGACTTTAACTGTTTCTTGCATCCTGTTGTGTATTTAATCAATATTAGAGTCAATTTTACCGACCACACAACATACCTTTACTAGTATCACACTACATGTTTCGACCTCAAGAGGTCATCCTCAGGTGTATGAACACAGCTGTAAAATTACACGCAATCACATTCGTCTTCTCACTTATTCGATCCTGTATCTTATTCAGGTCCATGCTCAATAATATATCAAGTTCCTCTCACAAAACACAAGTTAAAATATTATTCTAAATGTCAAAAGTTAAAATTTTAAAATTAAAAATTTAAAATTTGTGAATCAAATTTCAATTTTATTATATTGATTGCACTTTTCAATTTTTGGAGGTCTCGCTGTTCTTCCGCGTCCTCTGATGTTGCTGGATCTGTTACGGTCCTTGTCATGATGGTTACTGATCAGTAGCCATCACAACAAGGACCATAACAGATCCAGCAACATCAGAGGACGCGGAAGAACAGCGAGACCTCCAGAAATTGAAAAGTGCAATCAATATAATAAAATTCAACTTTAATTCATGAACTTTTAACCAATAATATAATTAAATTAGTTAAAGTGAATTTGACGCAGTGATGAGCAACTAGTGATCTGAAGTGAAATTCGATTCGCAAATTTTAAATTTTAAATTTTAAAATTTTAACTTTTGACATTTAGAATAATATTTTAACTTGTGTTTTGTGAGATGAACTTGATATATTATTGAGCGTTGACCTGAATAAGATACAGGATCGAATAAGTGAGAAGACGAATGTGATTGCGTGTAATTTTACAGCTGTATTCGTACACCTGAGGATGACCTCTTGAGGTCGAAACATGTAGTGTGATAGTAGTAAAGATATGTTGTGTGGTCAGTAAAATTGACTCTAATATTTCTTTCCTGACATTTATTTCTTAAGGATTCTTGATAGATAAAAAGGGAAACTGGGCTAGATCAGGATTATGGGGTGCGTGATTTTGTTCCTGAGAGCGTAAATCTGCAGAGAAGTCTGAATTTCACATAATTTTGAACCGAGGGTCCTATCATAAAGAAGCAGAAACCACTACAATTTCCCCAAAACCTGTTTGATATCATTACATGGGACATCTACTCTCATTTCCCGGAATTGCTGATTTGTGTGGCACTGACTCCAATAGCAATAAGTTCTCACAATTCTAGAATAGAGTGGAGATAATCTTCCCAGCAAATTGGGTGTCAGTGCTTTCAGTGTATTATCTCATGTTTAGTTTGTGAATCTCAGGGTGAATTCATTTTACTGCTCTCACTGCCTCACAAACAAAGTGTCCACAACTTGTTTCAAAAGCTCTAAAATTTTCACCACAACCTTCAAATCAAAATCTTTTTTCTTTTCACGTGTCAGAATTCCGAATACTCGATGAGAATAAATTTTAACATAAATTATTTTAGTTAAATAATAGGGAAATCTATGCCAAATAAATCCACAGTCTCTAAATTAACTGTTACAACACTTTATTATCAGTCTCCATTCTGTTGCACACTTCCTGATCTGAATCTTCAGCAGAGTGCCTAGACATGGTGTGATCTGCCACATTTGAACCGTTCCCTCCCACTTCCAACAATGTCACAAACCTATGCCTAACATTCCTTGATCTGTTAGTAACACTCCTGGGTACATGAAGTGAAGAAGTATTTATTTTAAACTAAAAGAATGATCATCATTTTCAGTCACTAGCTGTTTTCATGAATAATACAAACATATCAGAAGTAAGCAGATGTAAAATTTTCTTAAGCTTCACTCCAATTACAGTTCCTGCTTTACACATTCTGCATAAACTTAGTACTTAAATGTTATATATTATATGTAGCATGTGTCGTTATATATTCAGAAACATCATAATTTTAAATTAATGCAACATGGCAATATATTTTTGTAATTGCAGTGCTTGATTAAATGCTGCTACTTTAAGAGCATAAGATGAATATTATTCTTTCAAAGAAAAAATACAGTACTTTCTGCCATAAAAAATGTTTATGTTCCTTGAAAACATCACGATAGCACAAGACTGAATTTCAGATATTGAAAATAAATTTTGTGAATCTTGGTACACTCAGTAGAAAATAACGCACTAAAAATGTTCAGATAATGAACATACCAGACAGACATATGTAAATTTCTCTATCTCCTCTCCCAGTTCTCAGGAAGAAGCACCTCTCTCCTACCTCTGGAAGATACAGGTTACTTGTAGAGGGAATATGAAACCTACTTACCATTGTTTCATGTCAGTCTTTACTTCTCTATCGAATAATATTTTATGCTCTGTTATACTCACTCCATGCTAGTTGACAAACAATTATAATATGCAAAAAATAACAATACCTATATGACGTGGCATGCTTCAGCTGAGATATTACAAATGCTGTGTAACTGATAATGACCAGGATAAACCATACAGACCAAGAAGAATGAAGCTGTAAACTTTTGAAACACAAACAAAGAAAAAGTGATTAAAGTGTATTGCATTTTTAATAGTATCATGACTGTGCTTATCATCATTTAAACGATTAAAACTGATGGCCAGTGTAGGTACCCAACTTTCTTATGAAAAATGCTACAATGTGCACAATCCTTGCTATTTGAAAAAATTAAAATGTCTACTGCATCATTCAGTTTCCACATGATACACCAGAAAAATTGCTAGGAAGTTGCAGCTAATACACATTCCTTAAACACATGCATGCCATGAGAATATTCCCTTTGAATTGATATTAGTGTTCTATGACAAAATATTTTCGAGAGATTAAGCTCTAGAGTTAAAATAATGGGGTTTCTAACTGCCAAAGACAGGGGTAATATTGTCTTGTATGAATGTAATGTTATACAAAATTTCAATTGCACCTCCATAGTCACACCAATCCCCTCCTGAAAGTCTCTGGAGCAGTGTCTGTGGAGAAGTATTAAAACTCTCATGACTGATGAGGTAAATTTTAGGATCCCAAAGTTATGTCTTACAGGCAATGTCACTAATATTAATAAGAGCTGTGTTTCCAGCATATTATTTTAAAATGCTAAATGCAAGTGATTCCTCACTCTTTGTCTACAAACCATAATATTCCTGAGGTCACAGTGCTGCATGTTACAGTTACGAAGAACTAAAATGTGTGAATGTGAAGACATTCTACTGCCAGAAACTGACCTGACAAACTATTGTGCCTGTCTATAACACTTACATGTTACACAGTGCAAAATGCATTCACTTGTTTCCCCTGTGTTTCATCAGCCCAGTGACATGCTTCTCAGTATATGAAAAGTAAAAGTTGTCTGTGAATGCAGACTGCATCTATTGCCCTGGCAGGTTAAAGAATATCTTCACATCAAATAACATCAAATACACAGCAGGTGATCACAAAAGGTGGTACCATGTACCATGTATGCCACACTGTTACATCTTCATTATATGTATGCCAGGATAGCTCAATCAGTAAAGTGACTTTCTACAAGCTAACAACAGATTTTATAAGCAGCAAGAGTGGGATTTTATTCTTTGCCTCTGCATTCAGACCAGCTCAGGTCTACCCATTCTTTTAATCCATTACTACAAGAACATCCTCCCCAGGAGGATAGTTGTTGGTATGAGAATCTGACCATTTACCTCCATCTAGTGCTGAGGTTAAGAAAACATGAAAACTTCCCTCCAAAGCTCTAACTCTCTGCCTACGTGTGTGATACTTAGGCACAGGGGCAGGTATGCCTGCACAGTGAGCTCTGAATTACTTGTAGTTATGGAAGGGTAAAGTAGTACAGATATTTAAAAACAACAGATAATCCAACAATCTAGAAATAACCACTATCCATGATGCACATAACTCTAAACATCATTTAATTATTACTTATTGGTCATTCTAATGATCACTAAATTGTAAGACAAATATTTTTTTCAATAGGAGAAAGCAACCACATTTATTGGTAGGCCAGTGCAAAAACCAAGAAAATAATAACATTTAAATTTGCAAGAGGGTGAGAAGATGTACAGCCTAATGCAAATCACTGTAAAGTATCTCTCATTCTTGTACATACTGCTGAAACAGAAGTAACTGGCAACATTTAAATAATTTCAGGAAGCTGTAATCAACACCTAAGAGGTTCTCAAAGTTCCACAATTAATCTGAAAGCAGATAATCTCATGCCTGCTGCTTATGAACTATACGGTGTCTCCTACAACAAAAGACATTTGTCATATCAAAGGCTGCTTGTGTCTGTAACAACTGACAACGTTATTTAGTATCAAATGAGCTGAAAGAATATTATGTACACCAAAATGGAAGAGATGTGAGAGGAAGCAGAAGCATTTGCATGGGGGGACAAGGGAGACCACGAAAACCCCCATACAGCTGATTTCCAGCTGGGATACGAACTTAGTATTCTCTAAAGGCAAGTCAGAAATCTCATCAGTGTACTCGCTCACTTCATGCAGTTAGTCAAGCCTTCACAAACTTAGGATTGCACTGTAGAACTCTCCTCAGATGACTCTTCAGAAGCAGAAAGAAATGAAGTTCGATATGTCTTTAAATCAATATAAGATAGAAATGAAAGTGTATGAATAACAGAGTAGGTGTTTCGCTCATCCAGTGTATAGTCCTGATTTTAAATGCACTTTGAATCTTTGAAGTTCAACGTGACTTACTTACTTACTTACTTATGGAGCTGAGCCCTTCTTGAGGAGAAGCCAAATCTGCAGCTACTCAACAATTTCCCAGCATTTTATGGAACCCGAAGGTTCATTACCGTGTTCAAAAGAGCCCTCCACTGGTACCTATCCTGAGCCAGCTCGATCTAATCCATACCATCCCATCCTATCTCTCTAAGATCCATATTAATATTGTCCACCCACCTACGCCTTGGTCTTCCCAGTGGTCTGACTTTCCCAACAATATTGTGACACCTGGCAAAAATTCCAGTTTGCATAAAATGAACATAGGAGTTTATGTTAAAAATATAATCAGACCTCAAAGGTTCAACATGAACGACAGACAGAAAAGAATAGAAGGAATCAAATATAAATAAAAAATTAGGGAGCAACTGGAAAAGATAACATTGTGTACTAAGCCACAATTGCAGTTATAAATGTAAATTTTATTTAAGTCGCAAATAAAACAACGCTAAATCATAATTCTGATGTCGTAAGAAACAGGGAAAGAAAATAGATTAATTAAAGAGGCACAATATTATGCAACATTTTCTTTCACTGTGAATGGCTACAAATTCAGCTTCACATATATGAATGTTAATAACAAAGAACTGAACTGAATTTCATTTTCAGGAAATAAATACTGGGTTATATCCATACCAACCGTACTCTTCAATGTCATGCTTCACCATGCGAAGACCAAGAAGAGGCAGAGACATTTCAGAAATAAACTATGTGGCTTTAGGTCAAGAAGCTGTTGTTCCGAATTATGATTATGTTTATGTATATGTGTAATTGCGCATCCCAAGTGTGATCAACCGCGCGCTAGAACGCTGGGTTCGCGGACCCAAATCCTGCTTTAATCATGGATATAGATGGTTTATAGGTTGTTGAACAAAAATATTTCAATTGCAGAATCACGGTTGTCTGTCCACGGTTCTCTCCATTATCTTGTAATAATGAGGGTATGTGACAGGCTTATCATCCGTCACGTTATAACGAAATTTTAACAGATTCGACGAAAGAATGCTTTACATTGGTTACATATGATGATAGCCTAAGAAAACCGGACAAAATATTCGTACAAAGACATCACATTTCTAATAATTACACGTATCTTTAAAACCAAGAAAACGATAAATATTATTTATTCGCAGGATACTACTGCAATATGAAAGTTAAAACGGAATATTATTTTTGGCTTATGTATGTAAAATAGTTACAAACTCAATGGTATCTAGAGTCTAGACCACCAAGACTTTTACTGCTGTTCCCCGAAAACTGTTGATAATCCATATTTTTAATATAATAGCGTTGTCACAAGTTTTAAGTAGTGTCATAAAATTGGTTATTCACAGTTACAGAACAAACAATACGTGTATATGATGTATAAGCGATTTTCATGCATAATATTGCTTACAATATGGAGAATCATGAAATGAGGATAATTTATATGGTCATTAGGATCAGATTACTCACTCCGGTGGGGTGCCTCGGAGGTTGAAAGATGTGAAAAACAGCTCAACACGTTGCCTCTGTCCAGCCAGAAACGTGTAGATGCACTGACGAGAATGTCCAGCGGGATTTACGAACGTGGGCGCGGTGAACGTTCCGTTCTGAGTGCCGCCCGGACGACTCACAAACGTACGGTCACACTCTGCGAGAACAATACACACACATAAGCAGAACATCCACACATCACTAAACATCACTTTCTTAAGCAAGGGACATATATTAGCACAATGAATATTGCGTGATTTGTTAGGGCTCATTGCATTAATGAAATCGGAATTGAAATTATTAACCTGAGACGACATGTACGGTTTACTTGAAAGCGTCACTTCATCTAAAGTGAAACAGCAACCCAGTTCCCTTAAGTACTTACGTCGACTTCAAAACTGTGGTTAATGTCGAGGAGCAAAAACTTAAACTATTAAAGTATTTCGTCATTTTTATAATAAACATTTTCATCCCATATGCTTACTAACGATTTTTATGAGTACTTGTTATTGAATGAGATGCATATTTCAGAATTACGACATAGTCTTTCCAGAAATTCCGTGCTATTTTCGAGTGTGCTAAGAACACTCGCTGTAAGTTCCCTTTGTGCACTTAAGAAGATATTTGAAAGAACCCGTGCCAAATATAACTCCCCCTCTCCCCCCAAAGAAAACAAATAATCTTTCGATGGACCGTCTTGATTTAACAGCCGCAACTCACTGTCCTCGACATGTAACCTTATTTTATCCTACACAAGTTATAGTATAAAGTATTAGTAACAAACTGATTAGCATTGGTGAACGTTTCATGGATCAGACGTGCTTAGTAGAATGACGCCTTAAGTCTCTGTTGCTCCAATCATCAAGTCAAGTCTGGCATACCGACTTCTATGTAATCCTAAGGGTCTGTTTAGTCATACTGGCTTTCGTTTTCACGTTCCTCAAATATGCTTCAAGCTTTCAAGGTGCGCTCTACATGAAAAGCAATGCTCACTGTTTCTGTAAATACGTACATCATTCCTGTTTACTTCAACTACAGGTCAGAAAGTGCACGAAAAAACATAGGTCGATATTTCCTCAATAATTAGGGTACACATGGATGAAACGGTACAACACGCTGGATTTTATATACAGAATGTCCCAGGAGGAATGTGCCAAACTTCGGGAGGGTGTTCCTTATGTTATAGTATGCCGATATAACCCAAAACACCTATGTCCAAAGTTGAACGGTTTCGGAGATAATGGCCCGAGAAAAGTGTGGTCTTCTGGCGAGTCCACGCACTGTACCTGTCAGCTGACCACTCTTATCTGTTTGTCCTTGAGTGTGCTGATTCACTAGCCGTAAGCTTGTGCGCTACCTTCAGGGTACGTTGCCTCTGCGTTGTGAATGGGTGGTAGGTTAATTGTGCGGAGTTGCTGAAATGCCTTTTGTGTTTTCACACGTGGAATATTGTGAAATGCATTTTGTGTGTGGATTTTGCGGTGGCAATGCACGTGCTGCTGTTGAAGAATACCAAAGGCGTTTTCCCGATCGAAGGATTACATGTCGAAGTGTATTTACGCGAATTCACCAGACATTGCGTGATACTGGTTCTCTTCCGAGTGTTTCTGTGCACTCTGAAAGGGAGGATGCACGAATGATAAACACACGAGAGAACGTTCTTGAGATGGTTCAGAGAAGTCCGCGTCTGTCCACTCGTAGAATGGCCTCTCGCATCGGCGTATCACGTATGCAGGTGTGGCGAACTTTACATGATGAAGAGTTGTATCCTTACCATGATCAAAGGGTACAACATCTGGAACCAGGCGACCATACTCAGCGTATGGATTTGTGTCACTGGATAAAAGCTCATCCCGAACTGTTAAGCGACATTTTATTCAGTGATGAGGCGTCTTTTACCCGGGACGGTGTAAATAATTTACGAAATGTGCATACGTGGTCCCATAATAATCCACATGAGATAATGGAAACGAAATTCCAAAAGAGATTTTCCGTGAATGTACGTTTAATACAGTTATGTAGTCTGTTTATACCACTATGCGCACTCAGCCATGTTACGTCAGCGCTTGCCAGTCATGTGTCATGTATAGTGCTTGGAAACCTAAGGACAATTATGACATGGCGAGCGAGTATTTTGTACTTCAATTTTATGGCTTAATGTCACTCACAAGTTAGTTTGATGTTACGTACATTATTAACATTACAGAAAGCGGGCTCCGTAGTCTAGAGGTAACGTTCCCACCTCATGACTCGTGGTACGCGGGTTCAAATGCCCGGCGGAGGTCGCCGAATTTTTAAGGGCGGAAAAATTCAGGGAATAAGTCCTCCGGGAGGGACTTTAAGCCGTGTGTCCCGTGTCGTAACTTTACGGCACGTAAAAGAACCTAATATCTCCAAAGGAGTTCACTGAGCCAAATTCTAGGACGTTTCCCGCCCAACAAGTAGTCTCTAAGGCCTCTGATAGATGGGGGAGGCATTATAGACACCGCCATGCAAGTGGCCGAACTCGCTTGCTCGGCGGGACTGATGGTACGCACCTTTATCGGTAGGCTACAGAGACTGGTAGAATATCATAGAGGGAAGTACAACGGACCAATGCTGGTCTAAGTGCATGGGGAAACCCACCCTCTCCAATAACAAACATTACAGAAACCACATATTCCTGCCAGTTTTAATATGTATTTTGTAATCAACAAGTGCGTAACACCGGTCAAAGTTTCACACTTCTCTGGCCATTATCTCCGTAGCCGTTCAACTTTGGACATAGGTGTTTTGGGTTATATCGGCATACTTTAATACAAGGAACACCCTCCCTAAGTTTGGCACATTCCTCCTGGGACACCCTGTATTGTGATATGACAGCTGAAAGACCGGAGTAGTGGGGCAAGAAGGGATGGCCGATAAACATGTTTCAGCGGCAATGAACACGTGACGCCACAATGTACAATTTTTACTTTGCAAGTTGCAAAGCCACCTCACTGCAGTTAAGTTGTGGTTTCAGAGCATCAACATAAAGATCAATGAATAGAGAACTCAGGTGATCTATCTCCAGACGACTTAGGGTCCCTGAGGAAGTGCTAAAATTAAATAAATTAAATTAAATTAAATAATGTAACGCAGCTTGTTATCATCTTCTATGGGCGGATGACATGGACACTTTATATAGAAAGGACTGTAGCCAAGGATTTTCGCACGTACTTAAGGACCTATTCCCATTTCAAAGCGAGTGTTTAAGAACAGACATTAAATATACTTTTTACAAAGCTCTGATTAAGTCAGCAATGTCTTACACCAGTCTCACCCGGGAGTATGCGGCGGACGCTCACCTATTGAAACTGAAGCCCCTGCAGAACAGAGTTCTCCGCGCTATTGGAAACCTTGCCAGACGCACAGCGGTCTGCGAAATGCATGTAACTCTTAAAATTCCTTACGTGCACGGCTATATAACTCTATTATGCTGGACGCAGGTAGAAGTTGTCCTAAACCATCGAAATCTAATTTTATGTGGCATTGGAGAAGAAGCTATGCACAGGAAGTATAACAGGCATAAATATGGCGGCGGTCAAACCTACTATTTCAGTTTCGGAACAATTAAATTAGTTAAGGCGCTGCTGCAGAAGCCAGCATTGACAGAAGTCCTCCGTATGTATATCTAAATGTTACTTAGAACAGTGCAGAGACGACAGTTGCGCAGTGCTCATATGAATCTAGAAGCTGTGACAGCGCGAATATCCTCATGCTAGAACTATGGTGCAACAAATGTAGACAATCCATAGAAAAATTGATCCCTCCTCTCGTCGAAGAGGGAGCCCCATTTCTCAAACACGTACATATCTAGGAGAAAGAAAATTCCTGGTCAAAGTCTCGACGAGGCCTGAAGCCAAGAATAACTGTGCTTTCGAGGACCAGCAGCAGTTCAGCCGTCCAACCGCGGGCCGACCGACCGACAGAGGAAGCTTTATTTCGAAACACGTAAAAGGCCGGAAGGGACAAAAATATGGTCATGGGTCCGGACGGGGCCCGAAACTAAGAACGACTCTGCTGGGGAACTTGCAGAAATTTACTGAACTAGACTGGACAACTTTTTCAGTCGAGAATGTGAGGACCCCCCCCCCACACATTTATTATACATAATTTGATATTCAGAGTCAGGAGTTATGTACAAGACAGTTGCCAGCCGGAAAAGACCTAAGCAGAAAAGGACATTGTTTGGATCCGTTACCAGGAAATTCTTAGTGAAGATAAACTAAAAAGAAGTAGTGCGTGCTATGTGAACTTCAAGAGTGTGAATTAGCTATAGTGCTATAATTGTATGCAGTTACAAGTTTCAAGAGTCCAATAAATCCGATTACCAACCCAAATCCCGTGTCTACTCAATAAAAACGTGAAAATATATTTTCAAATATATTAATAAAACTGTGTTTATCAATCATCATAACTGTTTTAATTCGTCAACAATTCTCTTCTGATGGAACTTCGTTTTGATATTCAAAATGGAATCCTTTTTTTTTTATTATTTTCCTGTGGCGCTACAGTCCCAATCTTGGGCTAGGCCTACCTCCATGAAACTCTCCGTTTCACTTCGGTTTACTAGATCTTACACATATGGTAGGACTCCTTGGGTGAGTGATCAGCTCGTCGCAAGGCCTCTACCTGTAGACTAACACAGAAAAACGCACACAAAGATCCATGCCCTGAGTGGAATTCGAACCCGCGATCTCGGTTTCCGAGCGAGCGAAGACAGTGCATGCCTTAGACCGCTCGGCTACCGTGACCGGCCATTCAAAATGGAATACCGATTCATATTCTTTTATTGAAAATTTCGGGTGATCTAATATTAATCAAGGTATAATGCAAATAACTGCACTCGCTGGTTCCAAAATTGCAGTGTATAAATTGTAACTTCATATTCACAACCTGACTTCGAAATAAGAAATCTCAGATATTGGATGCAATATCGATTCTAGTTTCTATTTTCTTTCGTGTATAAAATCCGCCTGAAAATAATTATCTCGTAACCATTAAAACTGGCGAGTAATTATGATCAGATTCCAGTAAGGTTGGTGTACGAGTAGACTACTTCGCTTACATTAAAGAAAAACATAGAATCAGGGAGACTGAGAACAAGGTGCTGAGGAGAATATTTGGGCCAACAGG